TGGGACAAGGAGTAATAAGCTGCATCAGCATTTTAGTCGTTGACAAGCTCAAGCACCACCCCCAACACATGCAGGCACAAGCACGCACTGGCGCGCGCACGCACACACACTCACACACGCATACACTTTTCCTCAAAGTGTTTTAAGATAGCTGCTCACGCTGTTTATTAGTTTCACAGTGGTCATTAGGGCTGGTGCTCTCTGGCATGTTTTTAGATTTACCCAATTAAACAGTTTTACGGGTTACTAAACAGAAAGTGCATATCAGCTCATCTTTTTTGAAACTTTTGTCAGATCACTTCACAAAAGATTGAAGCAGTTTCCCCATGAGAAAAACGCCCGTCAACTGGGTCTCCTTAGTTGTTGTGGCATTTTTGTTGATGTTCGTTTTTAACAAACTTTTGTTGTTGAAATAAGAGTGATAATGACGTGGTAATAACGCTCAACCTCGAAGCGAACAAGGCTGCATCAGCCTTATTTATTTTCCAGTGAATAAAACAATAATCATTCTGGTGCCCTCTATGTTTAGCCTCGCCTCAATGCAAGATACTCCAGGTGTGTGTGTGGGGGGAGGGGGAAGGGTGCGTGTGCGCGCGTTTGTGCATGTATGCACGTGTGCGTGCGAGTGTATGTGTGTGGGTGTGTGTACGCGTGCGTGCGTGTACTTTTTATTTAAGTGGAAAGTTGGCAAGGGGCCCAGCGTTGTCCTCCGGGGAAGTCCTCGTCTTCTTAACTCCGGTGCGAGTGTGGCGATGCCTTGCTCAAGAGCACAATTTCCAATCCGCTTCCTCAAGGGAAAATGAAATAAAATTACAGTTCGATTTTTATATACAATATGAAATATGAATATCTATGTGAAATCATATTCTCGGCAAATGAAATTAAATAGTCCTCAAACTGAAAACCAGGAGATTTGTTCAGAAAAAAAAAAAATTCAATTGCTCACCAAGTCGCCACTCCCTCGCGCTGGTACGAGTCGCCATGGTAACAAAAATAAACGGGCCCTGCTGTCTACGGGGTGGGGTGAGGGCTCGCTCATTTGCATGAGACAGGACAGTGACCTCAAAACAGGCTAATTTCGCGACATGCTGTATAAACTTTGACACATCTCATTCACATCTGAGTTCATTTGAGCACGAATTCGCAATGTCATCAGAAACTACGAAATGAGGTCCTTTTTTGGGTCACTTTGTAAAGCATACAATTCAGGAAATGCAAACTACAGCTGAAGACGTCACAGCATGTCACGGTCCATTGCCAAAAAATACAATGAAAATATGCCCTCTAGTGGCTATTTTAAGTATAAATGAAAATTTGAAACTAAAGGGACGACGATTCTGTTTAATCCACCGTTTTGCTGTCAAATACATATTTATAATTTTTTTAAACTAAGAATCGTTGTACCAAAGTGTTTGTAAAGCTCTGATCGCAGCACATTCATGACAAAAACAAAGAACATAATTTCATTGGATTAAATATTTGTCTCATTTCATTTTTCATGGAAAAGCAGTTTTACAGAAAGCAGTAACACCCATAAAGATTATGATTAGTGATGATGGAATGCTTGTCTCGCAGCATTAATACAATGAATTTTCAGACAAGATTTAAAAAAAAAGTTTCTGCCGCACACGTGTAAATGCTGAGACATGATCCTTCTCATAGTTCCAAAACAAAATGCTTCACTAAAAGATGCAGATCAGCTCATCGGATGGCCCCAGACTACACACAACACTATCAGACTCAGCCTGCAGTCAACAGAGAATCAACTCCACCCCCCTCCCCCCACTCCCCATCCGAAAATCCCCAAATAAATCCAACTCTCCATCTTGGATTTAAAAGAAAAATAATTCAAGTTGTGACTTTGAGTTTGTCAAGGAGACATGGACAGAGAAGACGATAATGACACAGCGCTGTGATGCGCGGCTAATGTGATCATTAGATGTTTGTTTGGAGGAAGACGCTCGGCTTTCCTTCCTTTGGGGCCATTAAGAGCTGGCAGCGGCCTTGTTTTTGCCTTGTTGTCTAAACCGGGCCTTTTCATATCGTGGTGACGTGTGCTGCGGTTTCTCCTCGGCGTGTGCGTGTGCACACGTGGGTCTAATAATACGAATATAAAATAAAAATGAAATGATGTTCTGTTTCGATGGATACTGTCGGGCGGGTAGTTATCTGGCAATAGTTTGTCGAAATTTTAGGCAGCTTATAAAGCTACTGTACACGAGAGTCAAAATATTAGAAACAACTGTCAGTGTGATGAATTTTTGTTGTACATGTAAAATTTTATTGACTTAAAAAATGATCGAGGTGCTGATCCAATTTAAAATAATTGTTGCTGATTAAAGCAAACGTTTTGAATGAATAAATTACATCCAAAGTTTTTTTTACACTTTTTTTTTAAGTAGTGAATAACTTTTTCTATGAAAAAAATCAATTTAAATCTCTTGAAATTCATACAAAACAACAATTTGGTCATTTAAAATCAAGATATTCCAATGAGGAAAAATTATAAATATAATCTGACATGACCTCTTTCTGTCATAATCAAACCTTTTCCCCAGGTAAAAATAAATAAAAATAAAATAAAGAAACAAATGTAAGAATTTTGGAGAATTTTGTTTTTTTACATTGAATCATTTCTTGCCTGAAGTTGTCGATCAATATGGCCGCCCTGTGATGAATATGCACGAGGCGTCTTCCTCCTCATCCTCCTCCTCCTCCTCTTCGGCGGCGATGGCTGCGAAGGCCCGGTAATTGCCGGTCGTCAGGGGTGGCAGGAACCGTAATTTGCATCTCGGGGATCCTGCAATCAGCGTTCTATTCATTAGTGAGCCTGCCGCTTCATCTGCCGGCCACTCAGAGCTGGCAATCTCC